TGGGGGCGTTTCGTGAGGTGCAAGGGCAGGGTGACCAGCCGCAACCCTGGACACCCACCCCCAACCATACTGAGGCCTTGGGAGGCATGGGATCTATTTGACCCAGTCTTCTGGTTAGGGTTTTCATGCCCTCATGCCAGGTCTTGTTTTAACCACAACTGATCTGTTTTCAACCGCTTCCTGTCTCGGCAAACATCGCGCACCGTAGCAGCTTAATTGGTGACATGCGCAGCACGTCCCAACTAGCATAGTCTATAAGGGTCGATCACTCGCACCAAAGGGCGACCACGGTTACCTATATATCTGCGCCTAACCTCAGCATCTGTCGATCGCCTTCCCCACCACATCCGTACAATGTGATATAGAGTAGTGTTCAAACACTAATAACGGATTTGTATCCTGTTTTTGTAATCGCCACCTCTCTGAACCCTATAGCAGCACTGGCAGAACTGCATACACTTGACCCTTCACGGACAGGCGGATTTCGCAGAGGCTCCACAAAGGTACCAAGTTAACGAATGCCAACCGAGCCTTCTGTTTGCTTGCCGTCTACCATGTGAAAAAAATCTGATCAGATATGAGTGACAGCAGAAGCGAGATTTAAAAACTACTATCGTCGACCAAGCTAACAATCACCAGATATATTATGAAGTAACGGATTGTTTGGAACAGTGGCGTCCTGAAATTAAGTTTATCCAAGTGGAGCCCCATGTGCATTATCTGTGTATAGCATACAGGAACGAACTGCCACCCTAGGCTAATGATTATCAATTTCATTCGCATCGTATTCTTTTATACTGTCTTCAGTAATATGGAGCGTTTAATCATCATAACCTTGACCGTTCTACACGTTAATCTTCTTTTGGAACTACTGTTAGCAGAATACTGTCCTCTTTAGTCACGGGTAAAAATGATAAACATCAGTGCGTTTAAGTGATGACATAAAGCAGAATGAATCTGTGGAATTCAGTAAGTGTGAAGAGAAGCATCTTAGCAGTACTGAAAATTCATCCTACCGGGATTATAAGGCCTAACCTGACTTTACCGATCTAATTTTTACTGTCCATTCGTTAATAACAATAACATGAAGATCTTGCCACATATGTTATTTTACCTATTAAACTAAACATGGTTTAGTTCCAGTTTCAGGCACTCACCAGTCTTCACTATCTTCACGGAGGAACAGTGATTTGGCTCAAGAGGACTGGTGTTGGACAGATCGGTTGATGCACTGATGCGACAGGACAACTTTCCCGATACACCTTGACCCGGATCTACGACGCTCATAGCGCTAAATGCTTTCGTGGTGGCGGACACTGCGGTATTTGGCATACTATTTACCACGCTGTTAGCGACGTTTGTACTTTGACCATCGCCAACGATGTTGTCCGCGGATGCAATGGGAATCATTCGGAGTGGCTCGGATAAGCTGGTGGGTGCGTGAGTGGAGACTGGATTTAACGAAGACGAAGCGCTAGTTGAATGGGAGTCGTAACGATGCCAAGACGGGCTCGGATTCAACAACGGGGTATCACCATTCTTTGAATCCGTCGCCATGACTGATTGTGAGCTACGTGACGGAGCTGCCAAAACTCCGGAACGTGGAGGTGCAGTCAACTTCTCGTTCATGAAAGTTCGCGGTGTGTGGACAACGGGAGGTTTTGCCAAAGCGTGCAGTTCCTTATCCAGGAGATGACCACTGTTCGATGCCTGTGCCGCTGAAGTGAATGTATCGTAACCGGAAACTTGCAATCGGCCAAGCGGTCGATTCAGAGGAGAGTCGAAAGAAAAATTCGCGGCAGCACTGTGCACGGCGTGTGTTTGACGCACATGTAAAGTATAGGAAATGCGAGCATCCAATTTTGTGCAGCTCCAAAAAATCCGGCGTGCACTGTTAAATGAATTTACCGAAGTAAATGAGCACGTTAGCAAATATCGGAACATATACATTCCTAACTTTATTCTCAAGCGGATACCGTGAAAAAATGGTCAGTGGGACATAAGGTAACAAATGGGACAATGAAAAAAGATGCTATCTATGATTTAAAGTCATTGATCATCAGCATCGTCATCATCGGACAGTGAACATTGACCATCTACATTGAAAAGAACTTTCCCCACCCTTAATAAGTTTAAAGTGCATACGAGGTCCTTGAGTGAGCAAGGTGAAAGGGACGTGGTCTCATTTTGAAGAAACAGGGTGAACAATTTAACCGGGTCTAGCTACCATTTCAACCACTTTGGTCTGATAATGCCGCCATGTCCAGTACTACCTCCAACCAAAAAATCGTTTGGATTTGATCTTGAAAGACAAGACACCTACTCTACTCAATCAATGTATGCATTTCTTCATGTCTCATCTTTAGGACATCTGGTAAGCTACACGTGATTTCCTCCGACCCCGAAAGACAACAGCAAACGTGCTGTACGGCAATCAAGTTCGCTCCGCTTGGTTGAGAAGTGCTAAATATGTACTCTCATTACCAAGAGAGCCGAATTAACAATAATGGGTCCAGAATACGGTGACACTTATTTTATCCGAAAAAACATGATCCGAAAGAGGACGCATATGACTGTGACTGATTTATTGAGAATAATTGGTGTAATTTTCAATCGGTTTTATTTCCAAAAGAAACTGACATGAGACGTGAAGCAAACTGCTCACGATCATAGCAGACGGATCAAGTGCTTAGCTGTTGGCCAAAAAACTATTTTACCTAAAACACTTCTTCCAAAGTTGCGACTCACTATCCATCGTCAATGGCTGTATTGTGTTCCGATCGCGTGATAGTCCGTGTCGTTGTGCCGCACTGTGCTCCGCCAGTTTCACTCCAAGAATACTGGCATGTCTAGAGTGAAAGCGCTAGCACATGGCTACGCTTACCGGCCCAAAATGGACGACGATATAGAGCAGACTGCCAACCAGTGGCCTCGCTGCCAAGAAGCCGCAAATTCCAAGTTGGGATCGATGGATTCGCACTGCTGATGAGATCCAACCAGGTAGAAAAAGCTGTCCAGTGGTAACCAGCTTTTTAGCTCACGCCGCATTTACGAGACGAATTCACCATGCAAACAAAGCAATTCCCACATTACTCTCATACAACAAATAATCAGGTTGTGAAAGTTTTCAACCGTCGCTTATGCTGAAATGAGCCAGGACCGATACTCTGAACAAGCTCGAATATACGGGTTGTGCCACATCCTGTAAACTCAAAAATGAGAAATGGTCTGATCAGCTGCTCGGTGACCGAGTGGGAGGTATGCTTGCGTTCTACTTGTTAGGTCCCCGATTTGATCTCCAGATGAGTCGATGGATTCGCACTGCCGACGAGACCCAACCAGTGCTTTCCAGTTCACGCCTCAGTTACAAGAAAAATTCGTCATGTAAATGAATTCTCAATACGACAACAACTAACGCTTTGGCCGACACCAAAGACCGCATGGTCTCACATTCACATCAACTTTATCGGACCAATCAACGGAGGATATTACCTATTCATCGTCGGCGAATTCTCCTAATGGCCAGAAGTGATTCCCCTGAAAACCGCATGTTCGTCCACCACCATTGTAGCACTCCAGCCACCATTTGAACAATATGGTTTTCCTGTAGAAGTGGTCGATAACAGATCACAGTTAACTTCAGCACAGTTTCGTGACTTTTGTAACCGCTTGCAAATCAGGCAATTGTACTCGCCGTCGTATCACCCGCAATCCAACGATCAAGTAGAAAGGTTCGTGGATACATTGAAGCGTGCCTTTCATAGTCGCATGCGGGACTAGTGACGGATTCCTCAGACAGGTTTCACCACTGCGTCGAACAACTCCTAATCTAAGGTGCCTTGGAGGAGTCTCGCCGGTGGAACTACTAACGGGCTGAGTACAACCCATACAGCTATGGTTCCGACGGTCAATAGAGTCAATCAGCGTCCAAAGGTGTCTTTGTCAAGGGCTCACGTGACTATCGTGCTGACCACTCCAACTGGATGAAGGTTACAAAAATTAAGCGTTGTAGAATTAAGGTTACACGATGTGAACGTCGGAGGCGAGACGTGGGTCCGACATCAAAACCAGCTACACCTCAGACATCAGCCAAGCTCCACACAATCACGAACGCCCATTTTACAACAGCTGGGCGCGCTGATAAATACTGGAGGTTAACCTGAAGGCGAGACGCCGAACTGTACGACCGTTCCAAGTGGACCCCAAAGCCAAGTGGTAAGATTGGACCTAGCCAGGAGGAATGTGTTAGCTAAGTAGACTATTTTTTTTTAAACTAAAACTATCCGTTTTTCGGGTAGTTTTAAATTTAGTTATATAATTTGAATCTGGTTGCGCACCTTTTCGACTTTATTCGTCCGTTGACCGCTGATTGGTCAATTCTGTAAATTTTCTCACTTTTTGCATCAATTTTTAAGGTCTTCTTGTCCGGAGACCAGAATAGTATGTAGGCAGATGAGTTGACACTAATTTTGAATTGTTCACGGTGCGTCAATTATACGTGCGTTGCTCATCTGTATTCTTGCTTACGTAGCTGAGAGAAGGCTACTATTGCCAGAGGAGTGCAATTTGTGCTGCGATCGTACCTGTGGGGCTAGACGGCGAATGTGCCCGTTGAGGTACGCGCTCCGTAGTGTTTGGACCAACTTCGAATCTCTGTGATATCGTACACATTGTCTGAGTGTTCAGTCTGTGTTCTCGTACATTGCAGGGTTGGTAAAAGTGCGGAACATAAAATTATTTAACTAGAAGAAGAATCTACGTGACGTTTGAAACAGATGTAGAAACATCGAATAGATGGAGAACAATCCTTTTAGGAATTACAAGCCAGTCACGAAAATCATCCCAGTTGGATTAATCGCAACGCCAAAATGTGCGTCCGCAGTTAGGTGGTGAAATGGTGAGAGAAATGAATAAAAAGGTACGATAAGCCTAATGCAGAAAGGGAAATGATGTTGGAAAAAGAAGATGAAATGGATGTAAGAATGAGGTCAAGGGTGTGGGCGCGGCCACCAATGCGATCAGGGATGCGTGTGCGGAGGTCAATTAGTTAACTCAGGTTGGTGACCACAGCATAAGCCTGAACTTCGCGTCTAATGAACGCAGTGTCTGAGGAGTGCTTCAACTATTCCTTGTTGTGGACATTGAAATCTCCAACGATGGTAATTAGACTGTTAGGGTCTACCACAAGAGTGTCTCAATGGTGGAAGAAAGAAAATCAAAAACAGAAGGATCGGTGCTGCCTGGGAAGCGGTAAACAGTACAAAAATAGTGGTTGAATGAAAGGAATCAAAGTTTTAGTCATAGAAGATGGAATTCACGTTTCGAGAAGAATGACGGATATAGGCTCAAACACTAACTTTGGAAAGAAAAGAATGGAGGAAGTAATAAGGGAACTCAAAATGAGTAGTGTCTGTCGAGGGAGAGATTTGTGTCCCAGATCAAGGGAGAAGAGGATTGGAGAAAGTTGTTCACAGAATTAACATTTTGGTTTGTTAGTGAGGGCTATGGAGTGTTATGAGTTCGTAGGCAGAGCGGGCATTCTGAAATTTCTGAGTTTTATTGTTAATTTTTGGTGAGAGAAGACCGGCAACCTGACCCTCAGACTGGGAGCGGTAAACCACATAAGGCCTCAAAAGGTTGAGTGCGGTGGTGAGTCGGGCTGCCTGCCAAACTACTGTTTTTCAGATTCCAGGGTCGTGGATAGATTGGAATTCAGTCAGCCAATTTCAGTTTGTACAGTCATTAACCATGCACCGTGCGGTTGGTTGCCATCTTTCAGCTGCTCATTTGGATGAGACAGCATGATAAATAAGGGAAAGTGGAAACTAGAATCAAAGAGAAAACGGAGAATTTCAGTAGATTTGGCGTATGTGTTGATCCCATTAGAGCAACTCCGACTCAAAGAAAAAATTAATGAATACTCGAACAAGAAATCACAATTAAGATAACCATGAACTTTTATTCAATAATCAAAAGTGCAGTGTTCAAACGACCATTCGCTCACCGATAATTGATTGGGCACAAATAATTCCAACGTCGCAGGGGAGCACCCATCGGATCACCTAAACTTGACTTCACCGAANAAGATAAGGCATCGGAAGCCTCGCCGATTTCACCGAGTCGATCGATTCGTAGAGAACCGATCGTGATGATTAAGCTGCTGGCATTCAAACCGGTACACTGAAGAAAATATAAGGAATTGGGTGACACAGATAAATTTTTCACGGCTTGCTGTGCAGCAGCCTGAAGCTTGGGATTGTCATCAGGAGCCATCCACGGTCTGTAAGCAGAAAGACGATTGGTGACTGAAACAGGATACAATGAGGCAGCGAAGCAGTCCGATGGGACGAACACTCGTCGACAGACTAACAGCTCACCCAGGCTGATAGGCTGATAAGGGAAGAAAGAAATTTATGAAAACAATATAAATTCCGCTGTTATACAATGAAAGATTTCATGTCAGATGTTTATGAACGGGACTAAAACGCTCGACAAAGCTTCTCACTTGGATATGTGAACAAGTAGCAGTTTAATGGTCACGAAGGTCAACCATCACTTATTATACTTCCATACCGGAATGTGCTACACTAGCGTCCTTTCGTTGTTCCTACGGTACTTGGTGATTTGCCTTTTGAATCATCAGCACCGACAGTATGAGGGCGAACCGTGAGCATTCAGGGACTGATATGGAAGCGTGAAGAAAAGAAAAAACAAATCGTGCCGAATATAGCAAACGGGTTGTACTAGATCGGACAATACTGATACCGCCATGATCGGCATTTCATCACCAAAAGACTTTCAAATCAACTAATTGGATATGTTTATTCATTGCATAACCCAGTATCCATTGGCTGTACAAAAGCCAAATAATTGATAAAGACGAGTGCGACCTAAACAGTGCATTGAATCAAATGATTGGATTCATAAAACAAAAGTGGGACACAATACGGCATGAAAACCTACTTCCAAGTCATCAGCTACAGTGTTCTCCAAACTCATGAGTTCTTCCTTATCCAAGAGTGGATCGGTGGAGGCATCATCCATCGGATCTACCGTACGCGCATTGCTTCTTCGCGCAGCCTCACTGTCTTCGCTTTCGTCACCATCACTTGATAGATCGAATCGAGCTAACTTTCCTTTTGGAGATGGAGGCGCGCGGCGGCCGTTCACAAGTCGTGCTCGACGCATTTCTCGAATCCCATCGGAGAGACGTTTCCGACCAGTCGCACGATGACATTCGGGTGAACAGAACCATGAGCGATCAGCCGTGAATACCGAACGGGGTGCTGGTGGACGGCGACGCAAGGCACACGCGAAGTGGACAGCATGTGGTCTGTCCGTTTGGTGACTAACTGTCGATGCTGGACACCGTGGGTTCCCATTACCCAACGCCGAATCACGTGAATGCAATGTACATGTTGGATCATTCGCATTTGAACAGACCATTGTAGCTCCGAAACGGCCACAGTCTCCGCAAACACTAGTTCGTGCACGACGCAGCGCATCGGAAAGACCGATTAACTGACCAGTTTCTTCCTCGTACACTTCATTACTCCACAAAGCACAATTAACGTGGACCTGGAATGAACAGAATAAAAGGTTGCAGTATGAAAAAGTAAAAAGAAATATAAGGGATTTTCCCGCATCCAGGTTTTCAGTAATTTCTGAGTTTGATGAAGAGTAGTGTACATAAAGTTGACATTTCACGAGAGTCGAAAAAACGATCCTATTTACTCAACAATACTTTTGAAACTCGCGTTACTAGTCGTGATGTATGAAAGGCTAATTTGCGAACAAAAGTGGGATAATATTTCAAAATAAACAAACATGTCCCAAAGAAGAGATCAAATGATCAGATAGATGTAACTGCGTTACTTCAAGTTTCACAATCCTGAGTTTAAAAACTGTTCACAACTCAGTCTAAGATAGGCAGTTTCGGATAACAGCATCGCATTACTATGGTGCTCATTTCGTCAAAAGTGAATTACAATAAAATGCGTTATAAAAAGACCAAAGTTAACAATGTTAGCAAGCTTACCTAACCGACCGACTACTGTGACCATGAGATTAATGGCTCACTGCATTTAATTTTCACATTTACCTCATGAATTAGAAAAAAATTGCCTTTCTTGATAAATACTATATCGGGAATCCAGTAGGTGTAAATGCAGATACATTTCGAATATCAAAATAATTTGTGAAACTAATTGGAGATCAAGGTTCTCATATTCACAGATGCAACATAGTTGAACTAACCCAAGTATCGGCTCCAGTAAATAAAAGCCGACCTTCGATATTACTATCTCCATGGAGCCCGCATAGTAGACAGCATCGTGTGTCCTCATCCTCACTGTCTAACTCGCAGTCCCATCGGTTTACCTTATCNTATCCAATTCATTTGGAGGTTCCAATTTATGGCTTTCCAACGAAACAGTCGGGTTACTCACTGCAGCGGTCCAAAAACTACTCCGTGCAAAGTAGAATGGTTCCATTTTTGCAATTATGGGAGTTGTTGGACGGGAAGAGGAAATCTGGTTGTCCAAATCAATCGGGACGTCAGACAGTGGCGGTGAACTATGAATATGTGGTGATCTAGCCGATGGGAGGAGTTCGGAATTCGTTCGTTGCTCAGCAGCCAGAACAGAATCTACATCTCGGAATGCTTCTTCCAATGGATCCCGCGAAGCAGAGGTGGTGGTCACGTCAGTCACTAGCTTTCCAGAGTGGCCAGCAGTTCTCTTCAAGTCCACAGCTTTCGAATGTGTGTTGGATGCGCTCGGTAGTTTGTTGCATGTCGGAATCTCACCGTGAGACGGAGTCGTACAACCCTGTTCACATAGATCTATGCTTCGACCTGCCGACTCCTGAAATTCACGGTAAAGTCGAGTTCCCAAACGGATAAGGTGACGCTGAAAATATTGAAGAACCACTGGAAGAAAAGGGAAAGATGAATTAGCAGCGCAGCACGCTTCATGAAAAGAAAAAGTTACTCAATAGACCCCTTCCAATCGGGATTAGCATCCATACCTTAAATCGACATATGAAAAGCTGTAGCCCATATTACTAACATCATAACAACAAAAGGACCAGATTTAGACATGATCGTGAACAAAGTGGACTATTTCCATATATCACAGCAAATCATATTTGTATGTTGATGGCTTTGGGTGAATTGTATGTATCCCTGATTTAATCTCTCACTTCCATGTTCTTATTTCTCTTCTATCACCGCTTGAATTAACGTGACCTTGAGAGCTGCGATACAATTTGTAGTAGTTCAGAAGTTACAGCTCAGATTTGGCAAATATTTTATGCAAAGCATCAAGGAAATTCATTGTTTGTAATGACTGATTCCCGATTCATGAGTGTTTAAGTTGAACACATGTATTCTTAGTTGCTTATCTCTCTTTATTCAGTTCACAGTAAATAAGTTATTTAATGAAAATACTCTAGCTTAAATAAATCGATAAACCATTCGGCTACAAACTAATCACGCATTACCCCTAATACTGAAAGAACTAAAAATATATTCCAAGAAACGTGAAAGTTCATCTTGATGATGGTTAGTATACTTTCTCGCTTGAGAGCAGTAGTGGAAAACAGTCAGACGTAATCAAATATTACTTTTTCACATTTAAGCAGTTTCTGGAGGGGTCGGTTCCAAGGTCGAAGTCATTCAATTACCGCCCAGCAGTTGGGATTTGAATGTAATCGAAAAATTTTCCGTGCTGGAAACAGGAACAAGTTAGTTGCCACGACAGTGATCAGGGTGTGATATGTATTAGAAGAAAATGGCAAATTCTGTTGGACAATCAACTTGGTGGACTGCCTTCAGTGCTCACAAAGAAACAAGGGAAAATAAAACATGGACGAGATGGAAGTACAATAATTGTATAAAGTCTATGGGTCATTTGGATAAATAAATTCTATTTGTGTTTCTTACTATAGCTTTGTTATTTTACAACTGATGCACCAGCAACTGTCGTCAAAATCGAGCAATGGTACATATTAATGGAATTCGACCGATAGAAGGAAAGTCATAAGTGGATATTATTACAGCTATTTTTCGTCTGATGTGGGGCAACATCAAAATCAATCCCTTGAATGGGGCTGGAAACACTAAGCGTTGGAAGGAACAAATATGAAGAAAATCAGGGTGTTCCACCAGTTCGGAAAATACCTATCTGAATGCGCTTGTGACTCACAGCTAATCCAGTTTTTTGCCCAGTACATACAGTCGACCATATACGCTTTCCAAACATGATTAAATAATATCCTGTGAATGTTGACGGAATGCAGTGAACAGCGAAAACGAGTAGCTCGGTGCAGGTATGTCTCGAATTTGAGATAATTAACCTGAAGACTACATTTCGTCATTTTACTTCGCGAATAGAATGATCGCTTACTTTCTTCCTCGATTGCTGACCAATGCTCGACCCAACGCTCTTCACGAGCTTCATTTCTCATCCGCTCTATCGCTTCCAATTCATGCGGTCGGTGACATTGGCTAGATGGAATTCGTGTGGTGAATAGTTTAGCTTCCATCAAGGCACGCCATTCCGAAGGAGTGTCCACAGGTAATCGGGTGGAGGTCTGTGACAAGGTCTGGGAATGATAGGATTTCAAATGCTGCATGATCGTTGAATGCAAAGATTGCACCGATGGCACACTATTGGCCGCACGCAACCCGGACACTGGCATTCGACCATGCAGTTGAACCTCGTTCAACCGGGCCACAACCGGACAAAGAAGCTCGTGTAGTTCAATCAGAGCAAGTCGCTTGAAATGTCTCAATACAGGGACGAATTCACCTTTGGTTTGACGAAGCACATCACGCACTAAGCGAAAGGTGTACAAAATAAAAATGTTTTGGGAATATATAGGTGAATTGCTAGTCGAAAGTCAGATTAGTTCGTATAAACTTAGCAGTTCGAAAGAGGGTGACACTGTTTCGATGACCCGACCACAATGATGTACAAATCATCAAGCCTGTAATTTCGCATTCTCCTATTTCACGAGATTGCGGCACTTGAAATGTGTCGCTTCATCTATGAATAATATACACCTGCTGTTGAGTAATCCACTGCTGATTATGAAGTAAGATATGTGAAACGGCTGTCTGTCGAAAACGAGATTCCAAAATATGAGCAAACACGGTATGATGCAGCTAGCGAAACACTGTACCGCGATTTCGTCGGCACACAGCGTGACCTAAGATAAGTGTGAAATATAACAGCATCAATAATAATGCAAAACCTGAGCTGTGTATTCAATTCATATTGTCAATGGCAATGGTGTATAAGCGAAAATCCTAAACCGATTTCAATTACAGGTAAGAAAACTTGGACATTTTGAGAGACAGTGGCAGTCTGAGAAAACCAGTTGTTAGAAAGTTGTGACAGTGAAAACAAACAAAGACGAAGTTAGGATGAGAATAGGAAAACAACTGTAGGGAATACACACATAATTTTATGAAAAAAGTAGTATCCCATGGGACGGAGAACAGTTGTAGTGGAAAAATTCACACCGGTTCATTCCAATTCCGGTTTCAATCGTACGACGGCACACAGAAAACACTTCAAAGAATACAAACGTAGGCAGAGCCGAAAGTGGGCGTGTAGAGGTGGAAACACCGTAGATACTTTGGCGAAGAAGATCGGTCACCGATTAACAAGAACTGCAAAAACCGGGACAACCCCTGATCACATCAACATTGTCTACTCAAAGGGGTAGTGTTAAAAACAAGTTCAAAATCATTTGCAACTGATAGGGACTGCACTCACCATCACTGGCCATTTCACTTAAATTAAGCCAGGGAAAGGATGATTCGGTCATTTGACTGAGCCATCTCAACATTCGCCGAAGGGTGGTCGCATGTGAAGAATTTGTCGGAAGCGAGGACAGTTTGTGCAAAATACGAGTCAACAGACGATAAATAAGCGCACGCTGAAACAGAACAGAAACCAAATGATAACACGGATTAATCGACACAAGGGAGATTTGTTTAGGTTTTCTTGCACGCGGCATGTATTTTAATTCGGCTGCTCGTATAGCTGTATGATCCTTGATTTGCAATGAGTCAATGAAGTATGAACGAGAATTTCCTGGATTAAACAGCTCCCATTCCCTTGAAAAAACCCGTTGCAGTGAATTTGTTGTTTTTTCTTGCGTGACTGAATTCATACGATTCAAGGTGATGGGTACGGGGATAGAGGCATGCTAACCGGTAATAAAAGCATGAACAGGTTTTCAGAGTAAAAAACCTCGGCAACTTACGGTGTCCAAATAGGCAAATAACTNGCAGAATTGGTATGGACCTCTCTCGATATGTATAATCATTTTTCATATGTAATTATATCCCTGAAAATGCTTGATTCAAAAAAAGAGCTGTATAGAATCGAGCGGGTCTTCACGTCGGAGATAGGGGGTCGGCCGTTTATCCACGACTAAACATGCAAAAGGCGAACCTAGACTATCTACCGCTGTTCGCAGAAGTTCTGCCTCGACCGGCACCCAAGTTCCAAGGAATTCTTCTCCATCGGTTGAGGTGCTTTTACTCCACGATGCCGCTTCATACTAACCACGTTTAGCATGTATACTCTTATGTGCACTTCCTACGCCTGAGACTCCAATCATCAATGTGTGGCATATTTCAGATGCAATCAAAACTCCAGCTCCACCATCTGACTACCGTCTCCATACTGCCAAACTGCGAAGTTCCACCTGCACCCTATTGGGGACCATCAGGCTGCCGCTTCCGCTCTTCGTGGCGTTGATGTGGGTCTAAGTGAGGGAGATAACCGCGCTGGTAGATTGGATTCCAGTTGGCCACCATGAAACTAAGAAGAAATCTGCTGACGCTCGAAAAGACCCAATTCGTTTGTTATCACGGAGTAGACTTATAAAGTGTCTGTGATGAAACAAACAAAAAACGGATATTTCTGCTATTGTCGTTCTTGTTAATCGGTTTATTCTTATTTTCGTTTCACCTCTCGCATCTAAACTTAGATTACGATTATACATCTCATAGTATAGTTGTCGGTGCATTGGTTCCATGCTTCTTTTCAATTCAGTGAGGAATACTATATTACATTTATACTATTGGAGTAACCAAAGTTGGGGATGTAGTCCATTTTCTTTTACAAAG